GGGGAAAGAACAGATAGATAGATGGTGGACAGTCTAATAAAATAAAAAAATGAAAAAGTCCAGCAGAGAAAGATGGTGCCCACTGCTTATATGCTCTGCGAAAATACAAAGACTGAGGAGGGAACTGAATCAAACTTTATCCTTGTTTTTGCTAAATATGGTTTTAAAAATGTTCTTCCAGGGACCCTGCATTGTTTTCTCAACAAACGGGTCACATTGTCACAGTTCTCAAGCAGTGGACATCGCACTACGGCAGACTTTATGAGTACCAGGGGGAAACGCACACAACCAGAGGGAAAAGAGAGCAGGGATGAGTTTTGGGTCTGCGCCCCTGCAGCTGCGCGACCTTCAGATCACCGGAGCCTGAAGTACCGTAGTTGAAGGTGGAGAGAGGAAGAGAAAATAGGACCAGAAAAGCAGTAAGATGATTCGCTAAAATTGGGCTCAATAAGCCATGAGTAGAGTGTGTAAATGAATACATCGAGCCTTCCTACTCAAAAGAAACGCAACAGATAAAGAGTGCAGAGAAAAGTACGCGGAAAGTTCAAAATCCAGAGATCATAGACTGATGACAAAAGCTTCTTTTTTAAATGGAAACAAGCTTTTTAGAAATATTTTAAAGACACGAAACAATGTTCAAGGATATTACTGCTTAGCAGATATTTACTAATCTAATTAACACAATTGCTTTTTCTGTTGTCTGTTTATCTGATGTCGAGGAGGAAAACCAGTTATTCTCCAGCTCACTTCGGAGGTTTCCAGACAAGATGAAGATGTACAGTCCCTCTAATTTAATCTGTATGTGCGCCTCTCAGTAAGATCCAAATCTAATAGCCGTAACACCCCAATGGACTCCCTTTAAGGCAGAGGAGAGTCCACCTTAAGGAGCACCTACAAACCTTTTTGATTCTTGCTTTTCCTTCAGCATGTCAGACCTAAGCTTGTTGTGTGATACGTAGGGTGAGGCTCAGTTGGTCTTTCCATCCATTGCACCATCCCACCTTTATTTGTGAAGGTCACCAGTACGCTTCTATGGCTCTATGCACAACTCAACTACTTCCTGAACTGATGCAGCTTCTTTGTTTCCTGTCTTTCCCTACTGGATGAACTATTTAATCCAGGTGTTTCTAGCATCAGTAACCATGACGATAATGATCATTTTTTGCTAGTTTAGAAAGTCTTGCCATTTGCTCAAAATTTCAACATTTTATTATATTCCTAACTTCAATGAAGACATTTTGCTTTTTTATGGTGAGTAATTAGAGGGAGCTGCTTTGATATTGATATAAATGTAATGTGATGGCTTATTAGTTAGGGTGACAGTGTAACCATGTAAAGGGACACAAGAAGAAGGAAAACCTCACATAAAGAGGATGATATGGCAGCCATCCAGTGACATGACTGGTTCTAAGGAGGTTTCAGATCTCAGCCAACAAGATCATAACAAAAAATGAATGTTGCTAATTTAATGATCACTGGTTAATTCTTTGTTTTGTTAAGCATTAAGTGAAGAGCACTTTACTCAACAACACAGCTTACGTCCAAGGTGCAAAGTTTCAGGGTTGAGTAAAGTGCAAATAAATAATTGTATTAATATGACCTCAGAGATCCCAATAGAGCCAAAAAAACGCCTCCAGGATTTGAGCTTTCGCTGAAAAAATGTGTCACATCATCCGTCATTGCTCCCAGTCATCACTTTTTCACCACGATGAAAACGTAAAACCACAATTTAAATACATATTTCATGAGCAGGGGCCTTCCACCGAGCCGTTGTCAGACGTTTATATCTTTCAGTCCATAACTCTTCAGCTGCTGGACTGGGCCAGACAGGACAGGAAGATTGAGGTTAGCGGCTCAGGGGACAACACCTGGATGGAGAACAAGGAGAGGAAAAGGTGGTGGGGAGAGGACACAGCACCCAGAGGAGCTGGGATGTGGCTCTGCACCCGTTCCCCTCCACCTGGAAGCTAACCTCAGGAAATAGCATCAGAATTCACTGTGTGACAAAGTAGAGCAATACAATGAGGCTTTGGTCTGTTCTAGGAGATTTTGAGACATTCAATCTTCTGGCAGCTAAATTCTTCAGAATGTGCGATAAGCAGTAATGAGATTTCAAAGTTTAGGGCAGCATGGAAGACAGATGCTGGGGGTGGGGGGTAATACATCCAGGATTATGTTTGTGTGCACATCACTATGTCACCTTAATGCTGTACGTCTGTACATTACCAATCCATCTGTCCACCCGTGTCACATATATGTCTAGTCTCCTTCACACGAAAAATTGCCTGTTTTCCTCCAGTGGGATCCCTGCTGAGAAGTAGGAGCTCATGCCACTGTCACATCCGGTTTAGACCAGTGTATTCCCGACGTACGGAAAATCTGACAAAAACGCCAACTTACGTTGGAAAAGTGATGGGTACGTTTTGTATAAGATATGAGTACGCTGAAGCAAGCTGGCACACGTCGACATACAACGAGCATGCTCAAAATTTCTCGACGTATGCCAGCATATGCTCATATGTAACGAATAAGTTACAGGTAAGTTATCTGATCGTTGACATATGTTAAGTTTAAGTTACTTAAACTTGGATCCTCCCTGGGTTTACAGGCACGGCCAACAAACTTCCTAGCAGACATGACGCTAAATCTGCTGCGACTGCAAACCTTCTTTCTTTGTTTTTCTTTTTATTTATGCGGTAAACAGCAGCTCGGTTAATATCGCAATCAAAGAAAGCTTTTTATGCAGGTCGGATGCCTCCGGGTGCATCGCTGTCCCTCTCAGGACACTGGCTTGTGCATCATTTCATGCACAAGCCGCTGTATGTTATGCATAGGTTAGGATGTTGTTGGACATAAGTTCGGGACGTGTTATGAATATGCTATGTATACGCACAAAATGTAAAAAACAGATAGAAAGTTCAGTGTATGCCAGTGTTTTAGAAGATTCTGGGCCGTCAGGCATAAGCTGGCTAAATCGGCAAGGTGTGACAGGACCCTCAGCTTCCAGCTTCCCTAGTCCTAAGCCACATCTCATGACACCAGGTTGGAGGTCAGACTTCAGTTTTGATTCAAACTTGCCTTAATCTGTCTATCCATCTCTGGCTTCCTTCTACCACCATTAGTCAACAACTCACCTTGACAATTAATTCACTTCATCTAAGACTGACACTATCCTCCAGCACAGAGGGAACAATCCACCTTGTTTCCATTGAGAACCATGCATCAGAAAAGCCAAGTCTCACCCTTGATTATGGACAGTCATGTTTTATGGTTCATAGAAACAAACATAACTGCAAAATGTACAGACATAAAAATGGGATCCTAAGTTTCCCAACCATGGTAACCTCTGTTCACCACTTCACCTTTATATCCTGTCCCCTATAAACTATTTTTAAATAACATATAATCTCCCTGCCTTTTTAAATACTCACAGAGGCAATTTTAATCATCCACTAGATCTGTGCTTGTATCGTTCTCTGACTTATGGCAGAATTGACGTAGCAAAAAATGACATCAACTGATTTGTTTCCAGCCTTCAACCCCATTGTGCTTTTTTCTTTTTTTCCAGGCAAATTTAGATCATTTAATAGAGCGCTCCATGTGAAAGATTTATTTGCCTAATGCTTTACTTGACTGTTTTCCAGAAATATTATCAAATATGTTACATTGAGAATGTTGAATGAATGTTGAGTAAATCTGAGGAGGGACAGGGTTGGATGAGTTGGGGGAGACGGGGGTGAGAATCGAATGGTGTCTGTTTGGGGTTTGTGTTTGAATAACAGAGGGAAGGACTTGAATGCAGAATGTTATCAGTTTCATGAATGTTAAAAACTAACAGGCAAAGCAGTTCCAGCTTCATTCGCCTTACTGTGTGTGAGTAGATTTATTAATGAAGAGTATTCTTTGCATTAAATATGCCCGTGTCTTCTGTAGGTGCGGTGGCAGCGTTTGTTACCACTCCTCTCGACGTGGCGAAGACCAGGATCATGCTGGCCAAGGTACGCGTACTCGGACACAGCGCACAGCCTCCTCTGGCAGCTGCATTTAAACACTGTTGTCAGGTGATGCCTTGCAGGCAGCAAGCAGAGCCCCGAGCGGGCCGGCAGCCCGAGTGCATTTCTACAGTGTCAGCACCGAGGGCAGAGCAGGCCGAGCTAGCACTGGGACAGCGTACATCCATCACCTGCTGGGGGAATATGGACAGTGTTGAGGAGACATGTTTGTGTGCATGGTTAGTGTTAGAGTTAGGACTTGTTTCTGCTCCGAGGGAGTTTCCATCTCAGCGCCGCGTGTCATACAGAGGTGAAGCAAAATCCTGCTGTCCCTCCAGTTAACTCTCCTGCTCCCTCTCCTATCCTTTGTGCGGTGATATTCCTCCTCTTCCTCACTGCCTTTTTCTTTTCTAGCTCGCTCCAACTTTACGTCTGGCTTCCTTCACCGGGACCTATGTGTTTGTGTGCAGGAGTTCACAGTTACTCCCCCCCCAACACACACACACAGACAGACTGTCCTTGGAAAAGGGTCGGCGTTCCATTTCCGCCCCCTTCCTAACTAATGAGATACTGGAATTAACAAAACACTCGGACAGGCTTGGATCTCTGGCGAGAAACTCTTGGCTGGAGGTGAAACTGCAAGGTACAAAAGCTTCCAGTAAACACTATCTGACAGGAGGCTGCTGTAATCGAACCACCCGCAAAGGCCTCTGCTGTGCACACAGGTCCGGTTATAACTTTATAAGGCCACGATTTAGATTTGCTATGCAGAACATGTTTTTTTGTCAGTTCAGAAGTAAAGTCTGAGAGTTTTTGGGTAATCAACAGGAGAAATCAGTAGTTTCATATGTTAGACCTGTTTAATGATGTTGAGTTACCAGTTATATCATTTTTATGTTTTGTTTTTTTAACCTTTCAATTATTAGGAAAATGTCTGAAGTATGGCTTTGACAATGAACAGGGTGTGTATGAAGTCTGGATATATTTCAGATTTGAATAATAGCTAATCTAACAAACTCCTTAGATTCTTGCTTGTTTTAGAGCCTCTCTGTTATCGCCCTTAATTTTGGTGTTTAACTTCTTTATTAAGTCATCTTAAAACCTGAGCATATACTGTACGATATTTTCAATCGGTGTAATAAGCTTTCACAATGTTCTCACACTGATCTACCTGCTCACACTGTACGTTCAAAAACCACCTTGGACTCAGCCCGAGAGATGGCGCTAGTCTGACTCGTCAATCTGGAAGAAGTAGAACCCGTTTGCACAAGCGCAGTGCGCGAGGTTCTGGTAAATCGGGTCATAGATGCTGTAGCTCTGCTTCAACAGCAGGATTTGCTCACGAACATCGTATGACAGCCCACTGAATTTCAAAGATGTTAGATTTTCTCCTGACCTCCTCATCCTAACAGTAGTGACAGGCTAATTGCCCCTTGTTACCCCCTTTATATTACACGATGCAGGAAACACGATGAGGCTGAAACTTGGCCCGTTTGAAAAAATTCTGGAATAACGGTAGAATTGGCCTGAAAGGGGTCCAAACTCTTACAGTGTATTCCCACCTTAAGATTCCTCTTCCTCACTCACTTTTACTCCCTCCCCTTGCTCTATTCTTGAATTTTGCTGTTCCGTTTCTCATTAAAACTTTGGTTTATTTTGCACATCTCACAATAACTAAGTTTTTTTTTTTACCTATGCACAGCGAGTAATGCTTCCTAGCATGAACCAAACCTTTATCACATTAACAATCACCTCAGTCAAAACCAAACTGATCAATTAACGTATTTTATTATGCAGCAGGATGGCTCCCTGTTGGAGAAACAACGGGTGACAAGTTTCCACTGTGCTCAGTCATCTACTCTGATGATGAGCTGTTGCTTATGAACTTCCTGCCTATTACACGATATATATGTCATTCATCAGACGCTAAAATCAGAGACATCTTGGGGAAAACTTATGTTGTGTACAGCCCAAAAAGAGGACGTTTGGTCACCTTATCATGGTCACTCATTTTGGTGTTAAAACCTACCCTGTTGGGTAAACCTTCTTACTGCAAGGCAGCAATGCTACACACTGCAACACTGGGCAGCACTAATTTAGACAATACATTTTTTTTAATATATATATATATATATATATATATATATATATATATATATATATATCAGTTATGATTAAAGCTACAGTGTGTAATAATTACAGGGATATACAGTCAGAAATGTAATATATTATACATAACTATGTTATTTATCATCATCTACGAGCTCAGCCTCTTAACCTATGTAAACAAACCTCATCACTTGAGAAGGTAGGTGATGCGGACGTCGTGGAAGACATTTTGTCCCGTAATGCTCGCTGTACTGTTGGGGGGGGGAGAAGCGGTGGGGGGGAGATGTTCATGTTGCTGCGGTTTTCAGTCTGGACGTTAGATGTCGCTGAAAATTACACACTGTAGCTTTAATTGAAAATGTATGAGCTTATTTCCTGCCAGCCTATATTTATTTATTTTATTTTATTTAAATTTATATATGGTTCTAATTTCTCTTTTTTTAATAATAAAATTGAAGTTTAATTTTACAACTATCACATTCAAAATACTTATTTTTTTCCCACATTATGAATATCTTACAGTAACCTTGGATTCCAGCTAAGATTAATAAACGTTAGAGTGGCAAACAGAACAGAACCAGTGTGGATGGTTTTGGATCGGACAAACCAGAGGAAGTTTGGGTGCAGGAGCTCGCTTTCCTCAACATGCTGAGCAGAAAGAAAGACTTGTGTTGTACGTTTGGCATAACAGGGGAACATCCAGGACACAGCTGGATTCTGCCTGGCTGGTTAACCACAGCCCTGCTGCGTACAGGCCTCCTGCTCTGCTCCTTCACAACTGTGCTGCTGTCCTCAGACTAGACCGCTGTCATCGCTGTCATGCTCGCCCCTGCATGCTGGGAACATACAGCTACCAGTCTCAACAGTTTGGAAACTGGAGAATGTAAAAATTGGATCTTAATTAAATCTAATAGCAAAGCTATCAGTAAAAAATTGCATACATATATTATTTTGTTTCAGGCGGTGCCTGTTCGTCCTCTGTGTATGTTTTGGACATCCTGTTCCTCTATTCCCTCGTTCTGCAGCAGTAAAGCAAAAGCAAACTTGACAGGGAGAGTCATTTCTCAGCCACCTGTCTCCAACAGGAACACGGGGAAATCGGGATGTTTTTCTTATTAACTTGCAGCAGAGAAAGTTCTTTTATCCCTGATGACAGGTGTACAATATGGCCTCTTCTTTTACATGTTTTACTTTATGTGCTTAAAATAGACGAGGTCAATCTATTACCTTGCAAAAGATGTTATTTTCCATCTGCAATGCCTGATTGGAAAAAGATTACATGATCTATAAAATTAAAAAGTTGATTAAAAAGTTACACACAAAAAAAGGTAATTTTATCTCTTTATGATTCCAGATTTGATATTGTTTGTATAATGTATTATTTTTCAATATATTACTATTAGTTGACATATAGAAAAAAAAAAGGTGACTTTTTGACAGCAGGATCTGAACAGGGTTTTTTTGTTGTTGTTGTTTTCCATTAATAGAATAATGCAGAAAAGAAAGGGCAAGACAATTCAATTCACTAATGAAATATCATAGTTTAGATAATACTTTGTTAAAATTGTAAGAAGTCAAATGTTTGACTTTTTTTTTCATTTTTTGAAGCACTTGACACTTGTAGTTCTTTTTGTTTTTCATCTGCTAGTGAGACCCTAATTCCTGTGTGATAGAATCATGGTGTTAAGTTTAATAGTTGCTAGTTTTAAATTATCATAACAAGGACAACGGGATATTCTTTTTTTTTTAGGTGCTGTGATTCCTGCATCTTTTTTATAGACTCTGAAAGTACACTTTTTTAATCAACACTAAAATACAAATTTTGGTAAAATAACCAGTTAAAAGATCTCAACCAATCTGGCTCTTTTGCAGCAAAAGGCAAATGGAGTGAGTGATTTAGGACGTTCCAACTGTAAGGGTTAGATCAGCCGCAAATAAATGGTCGGCAATGGAAAGAATGCTTTAAACGACATGAATAGAGCAAAGAGAAAGTGCGTACAATGCGGTGGACGCTCACTGAATTTCGCTCAAATTCAACAATCTGAACATTTGCGTTGATTCGCATCGCATTAGGGATTGGATCTGGTTGGGGGAAGGAGAGAAGCTGAGAGCATTTGTCACTTAAAAACTCACCCAGTGTGAGGGGTCCTGGACAGACGGAAGTAGCACCGAAAGCGACCGTCATCCAGCTGCAGCTCATGCATCAGGTGGTGGTACTCGCCAGACTGGGAGCATCTCTGAAAGACCTGGTGGACTCGAGGTGTCAGACACTATTCATATTTCACTATTCATTGGTGAAATCGAGGTCCTGTTGAGTTGAACATAAAAGAGGAACCGGCAAGCAGATAAAAATTCCTCCTATTTGATGACATACTGAAGCGAGCTAGGGGAAACTTGCTGAGTTGCCAGCGCAAATCGTTTGGGAGGTAGAGAGACAACCAATGGAAGGCGAAAAGTATTTTTTTTCTTCTATCATGTGGTAAATTTGGGGAAAATCCATAATATACAATCTAAAAAGCAGAGTACTGAGTGTAGAGCCCTGAGGTACACCAGCATTATTGGTAGTAATTCAGAAAGTCTGTCTTTGTGCAAACACTGTTCCTAATGGTCAAAGCATTCATTGATAATTATATATTCTAAATCTGACACTTCCTTTTTAATGACCTGCTACCCTGATTACTCTCCAACCAGCTAGTCTGTTTTCTCTAAGTAAAAGCAGTGGTTTGATCGGCGCACTGAAGAATAGGAGGACTAGTGTAATCTTTCTCTTTTTGGGGAGGGCTAATGGAGGGTGCTGGAGGTGACACCTGCGCTGACACAGCTGTTCCTGACCAAAAAAAGACGCGAGGTGGCAGCTGAAGGAAGCTCCTCCAAGAAAGACTAAACAGAGTGTTTCCGAAGAGCAGGAAGCGAGCGAGACAATTTATCCATCATCACACCTCTATTTGTTCTCTCCCCTCCTGCAGGCAGGCTCGGCCACAGCGAGCGGCAGCATCCCGACAGTGCTCTACGACGTGTGGAGGAGCAAAGGCCTTCCAGGGTGAGGGTGTCTCTCTTTAATTCGCTGAAATGTGATTGCTTGAAAACAAACAAACCATTTTATCCCTGGTCATCTTTGAGAAACCTCCAATTTATACATCATTCAATTTAACCTCCCACACACACACAAGCGTGATGACAGAGCGTCCTCTCTGGGGAACGGGGGATTTACGGCGGCGGCTGAAAAATGAGATGTGTAAAAGCTTTTGCTGCAGACTCACTCTATCCTCCTATTGATTAAGGTGTTAAAGGGGCCAAGTGGAAGGGTTTATTTGAGTGTTTTGATGTGTTTATGATGCGCGCTGGACAAAAGGCCAGGTCTAATGGGGCCGCAGAGGGCTGCCAGTGCTAAAACAAACTCTCAGCTGTGGTGAATAATAGGCAGCTTGTGTACAAGCCACCATCAGTTAGTCGGGTGCATCTCAGCTTAATGCTGATAGCGTTTGGGATCGGGCCAAACACCAGCAGGAGATCGACTCCCTGTCTTTGTCTCTCTCACACACACATGCACTATGCCACAAAAGTACTCACACCACTGGAGAGAAAAATCTGATTTGTAAGCTGTATTCACCGACCTTTGATGCTCCTAAATAAAATATGGAACAACAAACTGCCAACAATCTGGAAATGGATTCTCCCTCTGCATAATCTAATTGCAGAATAAACCCAGTTTCCCTATGAAGGCCTTAAAAGATTATTTGAGAACATTAGTGAACAAACAACCTCATGGAGACCAAGGAACACATTAGACAGATCAGTCAATACAAAACACTAGCATGCAGTATAATACAATCACAGAGCTGTACTCAACCACATTAACCAACAACATGAATTCTATGATACAGCTGTCCACCCTAACAACTTTGGAGGAGCTGCAAACATTCACAGCTCACATTGAGGATTGATGGGCAGGAACAAAGTAACCTGGATAACCAGATTAATTATGAGAAGCACTAGAGTTTAAGTCTACATGTTATCAGCTTTTGCACTCATGTGATCCTCTTTCAAAGATGAAATTGTGGATTCTGATAATGCTGCCATATTAATTAAGGTCACCAGACATCCCCATTTTCCAGGGACAGTCCCTGTTTTAGATCACCTGTCTCTAGATAGAGCTGTCCCCGATTTTACAGTGTTATGAATAAGGGTGTGCAAAATAATCGTCATGGCGATGCATCGCAATTCTAATTTTTGTGATCTACTGCATCGATTCTTGATGGCAATTATAAAAAAAAAAAAAAATGAACAAATAAAATACATTAATGTTTGGCGCACATCAGCCAAACCATGTGGAATACAACTTCCAGTCCAGCAGATGTCGCTGCGGATGTGGTGACGCCCGCTGCTTTGTGTCTCAAGCATTTCCGGCCGTGGGATACTGCGACGAGTCATATGAAATAAAACATGGAGGACACTATGAAAATTCGCCCCGTGGCTCCATCGCATTTCAAGTCAGATGCTTGGATGCATTTTGGCTTTAAAAACAAAGAAGGTAAAAACGAAATTGATATGATGCACGTAATTTGCAAAAGGGGAAATGTCATACATTTGAATGTTTTCATTTCCACTGATTATCCTTATTTTGTTATTTTAAGTTTGATGAATCCTAAGATCTTTTTGTCAGTGTGCCCACGCCAGTAATAGTAATATTTCTGTCCAG